GGCCCTCTGAGGTCTCCGAGAGTCCTGTGGGAGTCTGGAGAGGTGCTGAGGTCGCTAACTCGGGCAGAGAGCAGGTGCAGTCCCGGGGCCGGGCCACTCTCTGAGTGCCTGATGTTCTCAGGCAGGAAGCAGCGACACCGTGCTCTGGCTCCGTCCTGAATCCAGATTCTCACCGTGCCTCTCCCCTCCCACGGGTCAGGCTTGGGTCACCTCTGCCCTCCCCAGCAGTCCGTTTCTGGGACAGTCACAGTGCAGCAGCCACGAGCGAGATCGCATGTCCAGTCCGGCGTGTAGATTCTGGGGCACAGCCCTTCCTGCCGAGGCAGCAGTGCGCTGTGGGAACGGGCCGTTTTGGCACCTGCTGCAGGCTCTCCACGTCCCTGCTCTCTGCCTTCATGGCCTGTCACCTGCTGGGAAGCACAGCTGCCCGGGGTTTCAGCGGCAGAATGTCCCTGCCCTCTCACTTTGATTGCCATCCCTTTTAAATTCTTTACCTGTTACCTTCTCAAACACGACTCTATACTTTTAAAAGTTGATGTGTTGGAGAGGCAGGAAGACAGAGCGAGCGCCCAGTGGGTCATGCCCCTAGTACTGAACAGGAAGGTGAGGCTGGAAGCTGGGGTGGCGGGACGTGGGGCCTGACCCCTCGGGCTGTCACCCACAGTTCCCAGGGCACACACCAGCAGGAAGCTGGAATCTGGAGCAGAGATGTGGGGTTTGGGTGTCTGAGCTGCCGTACCCATGCCTGCCGGGCATGGCCCCACTGGCTCTGGTACGGGGCCAGTTCTGTCGTACAACAGCCCTAGAGGCACCTGCCAGCAGCTTCCGCTGTCACTTCCGACCTGCCTGCCGCATCCCCATCCCACCTGTCAGGTGCCCCCCTTGCTATGGCTGCCCAGTGCTGCCGCATGCACAGCCTGTTGGCCTGCGTGCGCCCCTGTCGGCCCGTGTGACCCCGTCGGCCTGTGTGTCCCCGTCGGCCTGTGACTGACACCGTGTGTTCCCCCGTCGGCCCGTGTGACCCCGTTGGCCTCTGTGTCCCCCGTCGGCCTGTGACTGACACCGTGTGTTCCCCCGTCGGCCTGTGCTGACCCCGCGTGTCCCCCGTCGGCCTGTGGCTGACGCCGCGTGTCCCCCGTCGGCCTGTGCTGACCCCGCGTGTCCCCCGTCGGCCCTGGTGTTACACAGCCCTCCTTTTCTCCCGGGATGTTGCTGGTGGCAGAATTCCCGTCACATGGGGTTCTATGATGAGCTTGTTGGGGAACCTCCTGACTTGTATCTGTCCCGCACGCTGTCCAGTGGTGGAGGAGCCTGGGGCGTGTGCGTAGCCCAGCCAGCACGAGTCAGCACGGGCAGACGTGGCCCTTGGCACCCTGGACCACGCCTGCGGGTTTACTCCTGGATTCTCCTTTGATTTTCTAGGTCTATATGTTTTTCCAGGACCAAACTGTCTAAATCACCAAAGGTTTGTACATTTTTAAATTGGAAAAACTGATTCATTCAATCTTGTTCTTTCTTTTAAGATTTAAAAAAACATTTTTAAAAAGATTTATTTATTTTTATTACAAAGTCAGCTATACAGAGAGGAGGAGAGATAGAGAGGAAGATCTTCCGTCTGATGATTCACTCCCCAAGTGAGTGCGATGGCCGGTGCTGTGCCGATCCGAAGCCAGGAGCCAGGAACTTCCTTCCAGGTCTCCCATGGGGGTGCAGGGTCCCAAGGCTTTGGGCCATCCTCCACTGCTTTCCCAGGCCACAGGCAGGGAGCTGGACAGGAAGTGAAGCTGCTGGGATTAGAACCGGTGCCCATGAGGGATCCCAACACGTTCAAGGCGAGGACTTTAGCCACTAGGCCACGCCGCCGGGCCCCCAAAATATTTTTATTTGAAGGAAAAAAATTCACAGAGAACAGAGAACGGTGGGCCTTACTGCGTGTCACCCGGCCGTGGGCGTGGCTGCCGCCTGCCGTGGGCGTGTCGCCCGGCCATGGGCGTGCTGCCCGGCCGTGGGCGTGTCGCCCTGCCGTGGGCGTGGCTGCCGCCTGCCGTGGGCGTGTCACCCGGCCATGGGCGTGTCGCCCGGCCATGGGCGTGGCTGCCGCCTGCCGTGGGCGTGTCGCCCTGCCGTGGCAGTGGGCTGCGTGCCGCCCGGCCGTGGGCGTGTCGCTGCGCGTGAGGTCATTTCCCGTCGCCTGAGCCTCTCCCGCCCGCGCCTGGACTGCACGTGCGGCTCCAGGTTGCACACACGCCCCTGGCGCCCAGTGTTGGCGAGGAGCAGCCCCGCTCCGGCATGGAGTGCGCACCCATGTGTCCTCCAGCTCTGTGAGCGACTTCTGTGCGCAAGGGCCTTGGCTGTCCCGGGGGCCTTCTCTGCGTCTGGCTGTGCGTGCCACGGCTGTGATGTCCCGTGGTCGTCAGAGGGGAGGGTGCACACTCCTGCAAGAGTCAGTCCTTTGCTGAGGATTTGACAGCCGCATCACGAGGCCTACCGCCCGTGCTTGTGTTTCCGGGTGCCTTGTGTCTGCACCGACGATGAGTTGGGGAGCAGCAGCTCTTCCGGTCGCTGTGTTCACAATTCTAAACTTCTCCTGAAATAGTGCCTGTGAACCTTCCCATACTCCAGGGTTCTGCTCTCCGCGTCTACTCCCCTCGAGACATTTTCTTACCCACCTTGGGTTGCTTCCACTCGTGTGCAGGCGTGTGAGATCGCTGACAGCTCTGGGTCCGCGCTGCTGCGTGCAGGGCACAGAGCTGGGCGTCCACTCCATCCTGGTCCGGGCGTCTGGGCAGCTGCGACGCTCAGCCGGTGGGTGCAGCCCCGCGGGCGTCCGTGCGTCGTGGTCACCCACTGTCCAAGCCTCCTGTTTCCTTGCTGGTGCTCTCCTCGTGGCCCCACCCTCTGCTCACCCGCCGCTTGATGCTGAGCTGTCACTGTTGGCGTTTCTGTCCGAATTGGCTGCTCTGGTGTCACTTACGCTTGCTTCTTTCTCCTGATGGGCTGGCCTTCTCCGTCACCACACACCGTCCCTCCTGCCCTGGTGAGGGCTTTGGTTTCACACGCTGCCACCGCGCTGCCCCGGGCTGCAGCCTGGGCCCCAGCTGTGTCTATTACAGCAAGCAGCCGGTGCGTGTCGCCCAGTCTCGTCCAGTGCTCTCTGCCTCGGGAACCGGTGAATTCCTTACAGTTGAGGTTATTACCGTGTCACATTTGGTCCTCACTTTGTTCAGCTTTCACCCAAACTGATTGTGACCCCGAAATCAACGCTGGTGGGGCCTTTGAGGTCACTCGTGGGCGACATGACACATGACTCCCAACACACATGACCCACAACGCTCCCTTCCGACACCGGCGTTCTGTAGGCAGCTTTGGGGGTGTGCGCCGAGAGAGTGTACAGGTGTTGGCGGCTGTGCCCTCTGTCATTACGACCTTGTCCTGCCCAGCGTGGCTTTGTCCCATGCCCTCGGCTGCACGCTGCTCAGGCCTGCGGGCGTGGCGGGCCCAGCGGGCCCGGTGGGACACAGACACACTTTCCAAAGCGAGAGGAGAAAGGCGTGCTTGGTGCAAGGCGTCCTCCAGCAGTCCTGCCCTCTGCTCCGCGTCTCCGCGTCCTTCAAGGTGCGTCTGAGCCACGTCCCGTCGGGGGGCTGCAGCCATGCTGCAGGCTGACCAGGATGGGGACACATGCGTCGGGCCCCACCACGCCAGGAGTCACTTTGTGTTGTATTACTTCGTGAACAGCAGCTCTGTGGGCTGCAGGAGTCTTGGTTGGCAGCTGCCTCGTTGGAGCGCGTGGAGCATTCGTCGTCCACCGCCTCCCAGCCTCTGCTGGTGCTGTTGGTGCTGGGGGGCTCCCCTGCACACGGCCCATCCTTCCTCACTGCTCCAGCATGCTCTGCTTTCCTGTGACTTGTGCCTGTTCACTAGGCCATTCCTGCTGTGGTGTTTTATATCTTGGCAATTGCTGAACTTCTTCAATGCAAAACGAATCTGGGGCTTTTGTGGCCGTATTTCTCCACTGTAGACTGACTTGCCATGCAGACACAGCACAGCTCAAACCCCATTGTCAGATGCCAGTGAGGCCATGAACCCCGGATCCTACTGTACCCCCAAAACACTCAGCACCACCCAGGCTGCTTCTGGGGTCCACCTGGGACCCTGCCTTTATGCTGCAGAGGTTAGACCAGCGTCCAGGGACAGACTGGGCAGGAGGACGGTACACCGGGACTTTGGGTGTCATTGGGGGTTGTTCTACAGCCCTGCTGGCTGCACCTGTACTGAGACAGCACCCAGGACAGGAGTGTGGCCAGCACGGGAAGGGAGCTCTTCTGAGGGTGCAGCACGCAGGGGTGCAGGAGCTAGGAGGAGAGCAGACCACACAAGCATTGCAACCTGCCCACAAAGCAGGATCACAGAACAGTTCCCTGGAAGTGGGCCGGAGGCTTTGTCCTGTGCTGACCAGCCCAGCTCATGCTCATGTCCATGCCCTGCTCAAGGACTTCCCTGGGGTGACCTCCCTGACAGCCAGCAGCATGGATCCACAGGCTCCGTCCACGGGGGACCAGCCCGGCGTCATGGGAGCCGTGCCAGCAGAAGGCGCCCTGCCGGTCCTCAGGCCCCGTGTCTGAGGACTCCACCCTCTCCATCCTCACCACAAAGCTTCTCTCTCAAAGAGAGTGCGCCGGATGGGAGCGAGTGTGCCACGCCATGTCCTGGGGAGGGAGGCCGGAGCCAGGAGCGTCACACCGGCACCCTGAGGGTAAACAAAGGCCAGACAGCCTCTCCCTCACGCCAGACTCAACAGCAAGCAGCACCCACAGGGCATGACCAGGAACCAGAAACACTCAGCTCCACCTCAGACTGGGAAACCAACACTTCCCTCAGCTGCTTTGGGAAAACAAACACCTCGGCGGGGTATAAAAGCCGGGCAGTGAGGAGAACCACACAGCTCCCCGCATCCACTCAGACACTCACACTCAGGCCTTCCTCCCTCACCGCACACCATGGCCGCCTCCACCATGTCCGTCTGCTCCAGCAACCTCAGCTATGGCAGCAACATCTGCATGCCCGCTTCCCACGACTCCTGGCAGGTGGACGACTGCCCAGAGAGCTGCTGCGAGCCGCCCTGCTGTGCCCCCAGCTGCTGTGCCCCGTCCTCCTCTGTGACCCTCTGCTGCAAGCCCGTGTGCTACAAGCCTGTCTGCTGTGTGCCTGTCTGCTCTGAGGGCTCCTCCTCCTGCTGCCAGCAGTCTAGCTGCCAGCCCTCGTGCTGTGGCTCCTCCCCATGCCAGGAGTCCAGCTGTGTGACCCTCTGCTGCAAGCCCGTGTGCTGCAAGCCTGTCTGCTGTGTGCCAGTCTGCTCCTCCTCCTGCTGCCAGCAGTCTAGCTGCCAGCCCTCATGCTGTGGCTGCTCCCCATGCCAGGAGTCCAGCTGTGTGACCCTCTGCTGCAAGCCCGTGTGCTGCAAGCCTGTCTGCTGTGTGCCAGTCTGCTCCTCCTCCTGCTGCCAGCAGTCTAGCTGCCAGCCCTCATGCTGTGGCTCCTCCCCATGCCAGGAGTCCTCCAGTGTGACCCTCTGCTGCAAGCCCGTGTGTTGCAAGCCTGTCTGCTGTGTGCCTGTCTGCTCTGAGGGCTGCTCCTCCTGCTGCCAGCAGTCTAGCTGCCAGCCCTCATGCTGTGGCTCCTCCCCATGCCAGGAGTCCAGCTGTGTGACCCTCTGCTGCAGGCCCGTGTGCTGCAAGCCTGTCTGCTGTGTGCCAGTCTGCTCTGAGGGTTCCTCCTCCTGCTGCCAGCAGTCTAGCTGCCAGCCCTCGTGCTGTGGCTCCTCCCCATGCCAGGAGTCCAGCTACCTCTGCTGCAGGCCAGTGAGCTGCGTGCCCCTCTGCCCAGCACCCTCGTGCTGCCAGCCCAGCTGCTGCCCCTCATCCTGCTGCAGACCCTCCTCCAGCGTGTCCCTGCTCTGCCGCCCTGTGTGCAGACCCGCCTGCTGCGTGCCCGCCTCCTCCTGCTGTGCCCCCACCTCCTGCTGCCAGCCCAGCTGCTGCCGCCCGGCCTCCTCTAGCGTGTCCCTGCTCTGCCGGCCTGCCTGCCCCCGCCCGGCCTGCTGTGGCCTGTCCTCGGGCCAGTCCTGCTGCTGAGCAGCGTCCCTGGGGCCCTGTCCTCCCACTCACCCCTCAGCCTGTGCTGCTGCAGGACAGGTCCCTGCCTGTCCACTCTGCTCATGTCACCTTCTTCCCGGTCTGCTGTCCTGCCCAGTGTCTGTGCCCTGTGTAATGTGGCCCCACTGCAGCTGTGGATACTCCATGTGGCCCCTCAATAAACCGTCCTGACCCCTGACTCCTTTCCTCTGTCGTTCTTTGAGCTGGCACGGTTGAAGCAGACACCTTGTCCTCCATTGTGTTCAGAGGGGACCTGACTCAGCCTGGAGATCATGGGGGTCCTGGGTGGACCCTGGTGGCCACCCCACGTCAGAAATCCTGAGACTGCCCCCACAGTCAGGTGCTGGTCTGGGAGTGCTGCCGGCCCTGACTGTCCCCGTCCACTGACATCTGGGCCGAGCCATCCTGCAGCTGCCTGAAGATGGGTCACCCAGAGCCCAGTGCTGGTGGGGCAGGAATCACGCTGGTGCCGAGTGAGGCGGCCCATGATCGGTGCCTGGCCCTGTGGCAGTCAGTGCAGAGCCACCTGCTCTGGGCGGATTGGCTAGGGATTAGAAAGTGTGCCAGGCACTAAGCCAGGACTGATGGGCATAGCGGAGGTTGCTTGCTCACTTTTCCTCGTGCTGTCCAACCGTGTCTCCCACGCGTGGCGCTGGCGGCCGTGCCAGGCCTGTGCCCCCATGCCCACCATCTGCCCAGTGCTTCAGCAGCTCTCCTCAGTGCTGGGTTTCACATAGGGCTCCATTACTGATAGGACTGTGGGCGCTAAAAGGTGGTATTTTCCCTTGGTACCCCGTTTCTTCTAAAGCCGGTGTTTTCCCCCTTGCATATGAAATACCTCATATGAAACTCCGTGGAGGTGCACGGTGTGGTGGGGGCAGGGGCGTCAAGCTGCTGCTGGGGACACCTGCTCCCACAGTGGGGTTCCTGGGGTCAAGTCCTGCCTCACTTCACTCCCATTCCCTGCTAGTGTGCCTGGGAGGCAGAGGGGCTGGCTCAAGAGTTGTTCCCTGCATCCACGTGGGAGACCCAGATGTGGCTCCAGGCTCAGCCTGCCAAGCCCTGGCCCGTGGCATCACTGGCGGCGTGCGCCAGCAGGTGGGTGGCCTTTCTTCCCTTTCTTCTTTACTCGGCCTTTCACACAGAAAATATTAATAGTTTCACGATAACCACCTTGTTCCCTTGCGTGTGGCATTCCCACACTGTCCTGTTGGTCCTGGCACAGCCCTGGGATGCCCTGTGCAAGTCACCGGGAGTGACCCAGCCGCTGGAATCTGCTCTCTGCCTCTCCTCTCTGAATCTGACTTCCCAATAAAAATGAATCTGAAGGAAAAAACGTCTTTGCCTACGCCTGTTCCTGTAGGGAGTTTCCCATGATTTTTTCAAGTTTTCGTTGGTGTCTGGGAATGTGCTTAGTTCCTTGAGGCATTTAGAGCTGATTTTTCTAGAAGGTGAAGGGGCCAGGTAAGGGGGACTTGGCTGGTGCGATGGCTCGTTGGCTAATCCTCTGCCTGCAAACTCTGGCATCTCGCCTGGGTGCCGGTTCTTGTCCCAGCTGCTGCACTTCCCATCCAGCTCCCTGACTGTGGCCTGGCAAAGCACAGCAGGACAGCCCCAAGCACCCCACGCACGGGGCAGCCCCAAGCCCCCCACCCACGGGGCAGCCCCAAGCCCCCCACGCACGGGGCAGCCCCAAGCCCCCACCCACGGGGCAGCCCCAAGCCCCCCACGCACGGGGCAGCCCCAAGCCCCCAACCACGGGGCAGCCCCAAGCCCCCCACGCACGGGGCAGCCCCAAGCCCCCCACGCACGGGGCAGCCCCAAGCCCCCCACCCACGGGAGTCCTGGTCAAACTGAGAAAACACTTCCACGTTTTCCTCATTCAATATGATGCTGGCGTTCGGTTTTCATACCTGCGTTGTATTGTAGAATGTTCCTTCTGTCTTGCTTAGGGCTGTTAGCATGAAGTGGTGTTGAATTGTATTGAATGCTTTCTCTGCACCTATTGAGATAATCAAATGGCTTTTATTCCTCATTACTTGATGTGATGTTTCCCATTTGTTGATCTGTGTTTCTTAAATTAACCCTGTGATGTCAGCACAAGTCCCCCCGGTCCGGGTCAGTGATGTGTCTGGTGGCGTGTCGCTGGATTCCGTGGCTAGTATTGGTGGAGGACTTTTGCTTCTATGTTCATCAGGGAGACTGAGCTGTTGCTCTCTCACGGTAGTGTCTCTGCAGCGTCGGTATAGAAGGAACCTGGCTGGGCGCCTCCCTTTCTCTGCTATCTTTTTAATGTCATATTTTTAAAATTCTATGATGCAGTTCCACAGGTCCTGGGACTTGCTTTATCCCCTCCCCTATTCCCTCCCCCTCACTGAGTTCTTCTATATCATTACTAAAGTATAGTTCCTCATACGGAGTCATATGTCCACCTTACGAGCATGGACAATGGCAGAGTCCAGCATCCTATTGTCAAGATACAGTAAACAGTTTCACTGGGAGCCCATCTTTGTCTGGAAGTAGAGATGCATACTGCATTGATAGTCTGCATTACACAGCTACTATAATCCCCTTAAATGAAAAGCCACAATACAAAATCAACAACACGAAGGGAAAAAAAGAGAAATTAGCAACACCATGCAGTTAAATTACATGCTACTGATTGACTCATGTGTCGCTGAAGAAATGAAAAAGAAAATCAAGAAGCTTCTTGAAGAAAATGATGTTACTCTATGATCTAGGAGTCATGAAGAGTTTAATCACAACAAAGTGTTTTGAAGAAATGAAACAGAAAACAACAAAATCCAAGAGATACAGCTTCCTGCGGCTCTTTGTTGGTGAAACGGGTCTCCTGTAGGCAACAAATCAATGGGTTTTGTTTTTTAACCTGGTCTACTAATCTGTGACGATTGACTGATGAGTTTAAGCAGCTTACATTCACTGTTCACATACATAGGTGGTAATTGGTCCTGTCATTTTAGGAATGGGTTGTTCATTGATTTAGTCTTCTGTTGTGATTTCATGGGATGTTCTTCTGGTTTGCCTTTGGTTTTGTTGGGTGCTATTCCTCTTCTCTGTCAAGAGAACATCTTGAAGTATCATTTGTAGGGCAGGTTTGGAAGAGGCATTTTCTTTTAACTTTTCTTTACTGTGGAAGAATTTTATTTCATTTTCAAAGACAAAAGAAAGTTTTGCTGGTACTTAACCCTGGGCCGACAATTTTTGCTTTGGGAATCTGGAACGTGTCACTCCATTCTCTTCAGGTTTGTAGAGTTTCCTGAGAGAGATCTCCTGTAGTTTAATTGGCATTCGTTTAAATGTCAGTTGATTTTTTTCTCGTGTGCACATTTAAGGATCTTTTCCTTATGTTCAGTTGAAGAGAGCTTGATGATCACGTGTCGTGGTGAAGATCGCTTTTGATCAAGCCTGTTGGGAGTTCTGTGCCCCTCCTGGATCTTGTTTCCCAATTCTTTCTCCAGATTAGGGAAATTTTCCATTATTATTTCATGAAATAGAGTTGTAAATCCAATTTCTCTTTCTGCACCTTCCAGGTCTCCCGTAACTCTTATATTTGACCTCTTAATAGTATCTTTCAATTCTTGAATGCTTTTTTTTAAAAGATTTATTTTTATTATTTTTTTATTGGAAAGGCGGATATACAGAGAGGAGAGACAGAGAGGAAGATCTTCCGTCCGATGATTCACTCCCCAAGTGAGCGCAACGGCCGATGCTATGCCGATCTGAAGCCAGGAGCCTCTTCCGGGTCACCCACGCGGGTGCAGGATCCCAAAGCTTTGGGCCGTCCTCGACTGCTTTCCCGGGCCACAGGCAGGGAGCTGGAAGGGAAGCGGGGCTGCCGGGATAGAACCGGCGCCCATATGGGATCCCTGGAGTGCAAGGTGAGGACCTTAACCACTGCGCCAACGCGCAAGGAAATCTTGAATGCATTTTTTAGCCTGACCCAGCTCTGCTTCCAGCTTTTTGTTTGTTTCTCCCTGATGACAGGAAATATCTTCTAATTGTGAGATTCTTTCTTCTGCCTCCTTCATTCTATCTTGGAGACTCTCCATTGCACTTTCAATTTGCTCCACTGTGTTCTTCCTTTCTGATATATCAGCTGTCATTTGACTCATTTCCAGTGTCACATATTCCTTGAATTCCTTCAATGTGTGCATTACGAGCTTCTTGTTGCTGATCAGAAGCTTTATAACAAGTTTTTTGAAGTCTGTATGCCCATTTTCTCGCTGTCTTCCCCAATGAACTCTGAGGTTGGCAAAGGGTTCTGTTCCTTTGCAGGGGAGTCTTCAGCAATATTCATCGTGCCTCTGTCTCTTCTTTGGCTCGTGGTCATTGTACTTCTGGTTAGCAGAGTCTTCTCCTTGGGGCGGGTTTCTAAGCTCTGTCACCCACAGGTCTACAGTTCAATTTTACTTATTGCAGTTGGTTCACGACTCTTTGTTTGCAGTCATTTGTGCCACTGCCTCCAGCGAGTTCCAGGTCTGGGTTCTTCTGTTAGATTTCCAACATGGTCTCCGTAGCCCCAGCTCCTGGCTCACCAGTCTCCACCTCCTGTGATACCATACTGAATATGCACCATTGTCTGTATAACCTTGTCCCACTTTGAGATTCAAACAGCTCCCAGGATTAGGGAGACACCAGGTATCCTATAGAGCAAGGTTGTTGGTGGTCACCGCCGCCCAGGGCAGCGACCCTGAAAATGACAGGGCACGCTCTTGAGTGTCCGGGAAAAGCCGGAACTGGACCCCTCACTGCCAAAAGCGGCCGTGTTTAATCCTTCTCCACTGCTCCTGTGCACATTGCTCTAAGTTTCCTCCCTGCTTCTTTGGCCGGCCATCTTTCCGCACCATTCCTCCTGTTCTTTCCGCCACCCTTCTTCACGCCCACAGTCTTTCTCGTCCGTCGTCGTCTGTCTGTCTGTCCTCTGACTGGACGACAGGACCACTGCGATGGACAGATACCAGGTCTTCTGTTGGCAAGGCTGCGAGGCGCTCCCAGCTGTGTGGAGGGCCTGACGGATGTCTCCCCCAGTGCGGTGTCACCCCGTCTGCTTGGACACTCAAGCACCCCGCTAAGAGTTCTGTAATCTGTTGAGGCATCGTTCTTTGCCCCTGTGACACGGTTTTTGCAACCCATGTGAGCTTGGGAGTTAATGTCACCGATCATGTCTTGCTGAGTGGACCTTTAGCAATTTAAACACAGGAGCACAACTAAGCCCGTGCCATTTCTGGACACCTTGTTGGACGCCTACCCATTGCCTCCGAATCTGGCCCAGACATGTAGCACACCTTCTGGCCAAGGGCTTGAGAATATCCTAAACATTAATGCAAGTGATGGGAGGGAGAGCTGAAACTGCTATGGCGATACATGCAGTTATTGTAATCGTAAAGGCCAGCGTGTCCTGGCAATTGTTTGCAGCACAGGAAAAGTATCTGATCTAATGTTTGGTTAGTGGAATTAAGGGATGCTTTTATCGATATTAAAGAGATATGCTTTTGATTATTGTTGGTTTGTTTACGCTGTGGTTATAGGGGGATATACTATTTGAACCTTTTGTCTTGGATGTTCATGTTTGTTCCCTTGTAACATATTTCTCCCATGAAGTGATGGGCACGTTGTGGACACAGAACTGTAGTCGGAATGTGTTGTTAATGAGCAGGTGCCCACATGTGCCCTGGCCTTGGCGTCCTGGCTTGTCCCTCAGTGGCCAATGCCGATGGATGAATAATGGCTTACTTTGAAGAAACTGACTATAGTAACTTCCAGAAGTATCTATAAGAGCACCTGGTGGAATGTGAAGTGAAAAATTAATTAGTCGAACATCTGTGCATGCGGGCTTAGTTGTGAAGTTAAAGACAGTGAAATGAAACGTGTGCAGAGGTTTGTGATGCGTCTGAGTGAATAAAACGGACAGCTTCTTGAGGTGTGGGAGAGGGCGCCGAGTGACAGTGTCCATGTCGCTTAGTTTGCCGACTCCACACACGCTTCTCGGCCTCTGAGCTCGGGAGGAGCTGGGCTCCGGCACACTGGCCCATCAGCACAGAGCAGGTGGCTCTGCACTGACTGCCACAGGGCCAGGCACCGATCATGGGCCGCCTCACTCGGCACCAGCGTGATTCCTGCCCCACCAGCACTGGGCTCTGGGTGACCCATCTTCAGGCAGCTGCAGGATGGCTCGGCCCAGATGTCAGTGGACGGGGACAGTCAGGGCCGGCAGCACTCCCAGACCAGCACCTGACTGTGGGGGCAGTCTCAGGATTTCTGACGTGGGGTGGCCACCAGGGTCCACCCAGGACCCCCATGATCTCCAGGCTGAGTCAGGTCCCCTCTGAACACAATGGAGGACAAGGTGTCTGCTCCAACCGTGCCAGCTCAAAGAACGACAGAGGAAAGGAGTCAGGGGTCAGGACAGTTTATTGAGGGGCCACATAGTGTGTCCACAGCTGAAGTGGGGACACATGACCCAGGGCACAGACACTGGGCAGGACAGGGGACCGGGAAGAAGGTGACATGAGCACACTGGACAGGCAGGGACCTGTCCTGCAGCAGCACAGGCTGAGGGGTGAGTGGGAGGACAGGGCCCCAGGGACGCTGCTCAGCAGCAGGACTGGCCCGAGGACAGGCCACAGCAGGCCGGGCGGGGGCAGGCAGGCTGGCAGAGCAGGGACACGCTAGAGGAGGCCGGGCGGCAGCAGCTGGGCTGGCAGCAGGAGGCAGGGGCACAGCAGGAGGAGGCGGGCACGCAGCAGGCGGGTCTGCACACAGGGCGGCAGAGCAGGGACACGCTGGAGGAGGGTCTGCAGCAGGATGAGGGGCAGCAGCTGGGCTGGCAGCACGAGAGTGCTGGGCAGAGGGGCACGCAGCTCACTGGCCTGCAGCAGAGGTAGCTGGACTCCTGGCATGGGGAGGAGCCACAGCATGAGGGCTGGCAACTAGACTGCTGGCAGCAGGAGGAACCCTCAGACTGGCACACTGGCACACAGCAGACAGGCTTGCAGCACACGGGCTTGCAGCAGAGGGTCACACTGGAGGACTCCTGGCATGGGGAGCAGCCACAGCATGAGGGCTGGCAGCTAGACTGCTGGCAGCAGGAGGAGCCCCCAGACTGGCACACTGGCACACAGCAGACAGGCTTGCAGCACACGGGCTTGCAGCAGAGGGTCACACAGCTGGACTCCTGGCATGGGGAGGAGCCACAGCATGAGGGCTGGCAGCTAGACTGCTGGCAGCAGCAGGAGGAGCAGACTGGCACACAGCAGACAGGCTTGCAGCACACAGGCTTGCAACAGAGGGTCACACAGGAGGACGGGGCGCAGCAGCTGGGGGCACAGCAGGGCGGCTCGCAGCAGCTCTCTGGGCAGTCGTCCACCTGCCAGGAGTCGTGGGAAGCGGGCATGCAGATGTTGCTGCCATAGCTGAGGTTGCTGGAGCAGACGGACATGGTGGGTGAGTGGTGAGCTGGTGAGTGGGTGCCTGGGCGTGTGAGTACAGATGGGTGGCTGAGTGGCTGACGTGCTCAGGGCTGTGGGGCCTTTATACCCCTCTGTGGTGTTAACCCAGCAGGAAGCTCTGGAGTCTTCCCTTTCCTTGTTGTGCTGGGGCGGCGTCTGGGAGCCTGGCTGTTTCTGCTTCTTTGCAGGCGATTGCTCAGCCTGGCCCATGTGCTGACCATGGCCCTGGCTGTTCTGCTGTCCGTGCAGGGCCCTGCTGTGGCCTGGGCAAGCAGCAGACAGTGGCTCAAGGACTCAGGCCCCTGGCACACCTGTGCCTATCTGGCTGGAGTTGAAGGTCTTTGACACCAAACTCTTCCCTACTGGCTCCCCAAGTTTGCTTTTTCAAGTTTTTTTCAATTGTATAAACTTTGGTTTCTATCATTTTTGGTTGCAAAGGATGAAGGAATAGAGGAAAGTGAGTGAAACCATTGTTTCCACATTTTCTTATTTCTTTCCTGTGTCCTTGGTCAGGCAGAGATAAAGGGCGAAGCCACAGCGAGCCTGCCAAGCATCCCTTTACCCCAGTGCGGGGCATGATCCGACGGGCCTGCTCAAGTGCTTCATAAACATATATATACTTTTTATTTTAATGTTTTTTGTTTGATTTGATATTTTTACATTTTGTTGTTATTATTATCATTTTATGATATAGTTCCATAGGCTCCTGGCATTTCCCTTATCCACTCCCCAACTCCCCACCCCACCGAGTTCCTCTATATCATTACTAAAATATAGTTCTTCCTACACAGTCATGTGTTAATCATTGCGGGCATGGACAATGGCAGAGAGTCCAGCATCCTATTGTCAAGATATAGTAAACAGTTCATTGTAAGTCCATCTTTGTCTGGAACTACAGATGCATACTGCATTGCATCCTCACATCTGGACATTAGTCTCCATTTCACAGCTACTGTACATCCCCTTAAATGAAAGGTTATAATACAAAATCAACAACAGAAAGAAAAATAGAAATGTACAATGCCATGCAGTTAAATAACATGTTACTAGATGGGACAGTCTCCATTACACAGCTACTATACATCCCCTAAATGAAGAGCCACAAAACAAAATCAACATCCGGGAGAAGAAGAAACTAACACCACCATGAAGTTAAACAACATGTTATTAAATGACTAACGTGTAGCTGAAGAAATGAAAATCAAGAACCTTCTTGAAGAAAATGATGCCACTGTATGATCTACGAGTCATTGAATGATTTAATCAGGAGAAAGTGTTTTGAAGAGATGAAACCAACAGAAAACAACAAAACCCATGATATAGTTTCCGCTGATTTTTGTTAGTGCAGTGTGTCTCCTCCACACAATAATCAATGGGTTTTGTTTTTTAACCCAGTCTACTAATCTATGACGATTGACTGATGAGTTTAAGCAGTTTACATTCACTGTTCACATACATAGGTGGTAATTGGTCCTGTCATTTTAGGAATGGGTTGTTCATTGATTTAGTCTTCTGTGGTGATTTCATGGGATGTTCTTCTGGTTTGCCTTTGGTTTTGTTGGGTGCTATTCCTCTTCTCTGTCAAGAGAACATCTTGAAGTATCATTTGTAGAGCAGGTCTGGAAGAGGCATTTTCTTTTAACTTTTCTTTACTGTGGAAAAATTTTATTTCATTTTCAAAGACAAAAGAAAGTTCTGCTGGTACTTAATCCTTGGCCAACATTTTTGTTTTTTGCTTTTAGAATCTGGAACAAGTCACTCCATTCTCTTCTGGTTTGTAGAGTTTCCTGAGAGAGATCTCCTGTAGTTTAATTGGCATTCGTTTAAATGTCAGTTGATTTTTTTTCATGTGCACATTTAAGGATCTTTTCCTTATGTTCAGTTGAAGAGAGCTTGATGATCACGTGTTGTGGTGAAGATCGCTTTTGATCAAGCCTGTTGGGAGTTCTGTGCCCCTCCTGGATCTTGTTTCCCAATTCTTTCTCCAGATTAGGGAAATTTTCCATTATTATTTCATCAAATACAGTGTAAATCCAGTTTCTCTTTCTGCACCTTCTGGGACTCCCATAACTCTTACATTTGGTCTCTTAATAGCATCCTTCAGTCTATCAGTCTATCAGTCTGTCAGTCTGTCTGTCTGTCCCAGTCATCCTGTCGTTCGGTCATCCGTCCATCCTCTTACCGGCTACTTTTATATCGTTCTCCACCAATCACTTCTCCCTGTGGTCCACTTGGCGCTGCGTGTTAGGCCAGTAATCAGAGAGAGCGCACTAGCCTATCCCTGTGACTTCCTGTTCACCTGCTGGGGAGGCCAACCCTGCCTCCTGGCCCTGGGCCAGTCATCATTTTGCAAAGGCCCTCCTAGTCCCAGAGAGGTTTTTGCACCACGCTCCCCACAGTTGGTGGTGCGATCTTGCCGAGCCTGTTGGCTGTTAGGTCTGGGTGCCACACACACCTATTTTGACCCGTACGCTGCCACAGTTGGTATTATTTTCCTGTGCGATCAGTGTAATGCGCAGAAGGCAGCATGTTCTCTCCGAGCTCAGTGCATATGCAGCTCAGCGCTGTTTCCACAGTCTCAAAGGCCTTGCCACACTGTCCAAACTGGCACCAATGCAACACTGCTAGAGTTCTTGATCTGCTGGCCATCAGATCTGAGGGCTAACCTGACCTCTCTTGGGTAGAACCTGTAGAATGCCATGTTGTTGCAGTTCACTGAGCCAGAAATGAGTTCACTCCCAGCTCCATGCATGTGCAGTCCTGCCCTATAGCCCTTGCCTCCTTAAGCAAAATGGCGCCCCGTTTGGCTCTAGATGACTGACTGGGGTGTGAAATCCACGCATTTCTCACATTGCCCGCCTGGGATCTGGCGCTCTGTCTCTGCTCCTGGTCAAATCAAACAGACTCATGGCCCCACCAGTGTGTGTGTGATCTGGCATTGGGAGAGGTTCTGGTGGAGGAGCTTGGCAGGCCACTCCTCTGTAGGGACACAGTTCCTGCAGGTGGGCACAGGAATCAAGAAGGTGAGAAGCTAGCCCAGACCAGGCCAGGTTACGGTACCCATGGTATTACCTTTGCCTCAGGTCTGGGGCAAGGCAGGCTGGGCCGGTTCATACCATACACGGGCAAATCCAAGAGCCAGAATGGTGTGTGGGTCATGCCAGGTTGGGCCGCAGTACTATCCTGTGCACGTTAGGTCTGGGACTGGGGGCTGGCTGGGCTGGCGAGGCTGCAGTCCCCACCAAACATGAGCTGGAAGTATGGGCAGGCCAGGCTGGCCAGACTAATGCACCCACTGGCAAATGCCAAGGAGAGGCAGCCCATACCTGACTTGATCAAGGCATCCAACAAGCACACGTGAGATCCAGGGAAGTGTGGGCTAACCCTAGGGGGGCTGCAGAGAGCCGCTCTGCTGGGCCACTATTCCGACATGTTGAGTGAGAGCTGGGATTGGGGGAACATCAAGCTGTGCAGGGCTACAACACCTGTTGGCCTACATGTAACCTGGACTGGGCCCAAGCCAGGCTGGGCAGAGTATTGGTACATGCATAAGCCAGAGGGTGAGGGTTGGGTGGGCTTTGCTCCAACATCAGCTAGCTGATGTTGGCGTAGGTTGAAAAGTCTGTCGAGCAAGCAGTACTACCACCTGGAGAGTGCAAGACCTGAGAGTGGGAGTGGGCTCTTTAGGAAACAGAGGGCAACTCCCTCTTGGACTGCCACTCGCCCTGGTGCAATCATGGGCAGGCATGGGGAGACATAGGGTGACGCCTGTTGGCAGGTGTGTGGGCTGGATAGTGGGCTGGTTGGGTTGGACTAGGCTTCAATGCTCATTGCCATGTATGAGAGGTGCATGGGTTGTGGGACAGACTGGACCAGTCTGCTGTACCTACTGGCAAGCAGGAGAACCAGGGAATGAGGTGGGTCTGCTGGGGGTTGTTGAATCCCTCCGCCTTGGCGTTAGCTCTCACTGGTTTGTGTGGGGGCCGAGTTTGCAGTGGGCAGGAATGGGCTGCACGGCAACACCCACACGTTTGTGTAGGAGACAGGGATGGAGACAACTGACACAGCAATTGTAAATCGGCATAGGCCGATTTGGATGACAGAGTGTGCTGTACCCTGTACTGGCATGCACGCACAAAAATCAGGTCTGGGATCACCTCCATGAAGTTTGTTTGGGAATTCACCCAACTGAGGCACTTACTGGCCAATGCATAAACCAGGTTGGAGTGCAGGTCATGCTGGGCTAGGATATCACACTACTGGTTCACATGAGCCTGGGATGGAAGCTGACTGAGCAGGGCCAGGTTTCAGCACAAGATCGGTGGGTGCTATTCAGGTCAGGTCAGAACAACCACTGGCACATGTGGAATCTGTGGAGGGGAGTAGGCCTGGCTGGGAAGCAAAGGGGTGCCCTGGCCGGGTTGTGATCCCCATTGGAGAGCACGAGGACCAGGGTGGGGGCTGCAGTCTGGTCTGGATATAGCTGCAGAATCCCTCTGTGTGTGTGTGGCCTCGGAATGGGATGTGCCAGACTGGGCTAGAATCCAGCACCCACTGGTGCTCATAAGAACCAGGTAGGTGTTGGATGGGCTAGGCCAGGTCTCTGCCCCCACTGAGCCATGTGCGAGCTATGTCTGGCTATGGATCAGGCTTGGCTGGGCTGTAGCAACCAACAAGAAGCAGAATGGGTGAGGGCTAGTGAGGAAAGGCCACTGTTTCTGCTAGGACAGGAGGTGGACTGAGTGGGGCTGGCCCATGGGCCCACTGTTGTGTGTGGGGAACTCCTCTATCAGGACGCGCTCCCTGCAGGTGAGCACAAGAACCAAGACATGGTGCAGCTCAGAACAGGCCAAACTACGGTATCGACTGGCATACATTTGGCGCAGGTTGGGGGCAGGCCAGGCTGGGTCAGTCCCTATCAACTACTGGTGAATCTGAGTGTCAGGATGGAGTGTGGGTCAGGCCATGTCAGGGCACAATACCAACCAGG